TTGCCTTCGATAGGACTTTCCAATTATTATATTATTATACTCAGCCATGCTCTGCCATCTGTTAGCATTGAATGGAGCAAAACAATAGGGATGCCAATTGTGAGTTGATAAATAAACGGAAAATGCTGCCACGTGCCTTCGCCCAATCCGAGGAGCATTTTAAAACGACAGGGTCTTACTGAAAACGCAGGACTCATTGTCTGCAGTCCTAAGACATGTGGCCCTAAGGCTAAACGTCCATACTTCCAGCACAGCCAGCGTTTCCATACTACTTCGGTTGTTTCCCACTCCACACATTTAGCAACGCCGTGAACTCAACCCCTTTATTAAGTCTCATGTTTTCATTTGTACACCACAAAGCTAAAAACACCAAAATAACGAGAGCATCAATTTAATATCTACATTTGCACAACAGGAGTATCAACCACAACTAGGCGTAGTGAAGTTGCCTTATACTCGAGCCCCAAGTCCTCCCATATAGCAACATAATTTCATTTGCCTTCGACAAAATGACCTGTGTTCCCGCATTTATAAACCAGACCTGCCTAAGCTCATCTCTACTTGGACCAAGGTAGCGCGTAGGTGAGAGTGACTTTAATAACATTGACCACCCTTTTCGTTTATGTTGTCTGAGCTGAGGTCATTTTATCCAAATTGTAGTGATATCGACGCGAAGTTACTATTAGCTTTCGATTAATTGACCTGTGTTTTGGCCTTTCTTGACTAGACCTGCCTAAGCTCATCCCTACTTGGATGACTGTAGCATGAAGCTGAAAGTGGCCTTGAAAGTATTGTCGGCCCTTTTCGTTAACATTGCATGAGCCGACATTGCATTACAAAAATTGTATTAACAGTGACGAAAACTTGTCAATTGTCTTCCAATAATTGACCTTCATTTTCCCTTAGGTCATTTTATCCAAATTGTAATTAATTCGACACGGACTTGCTGAGTGATTTTGATTGGTTCACCTGTGTTTTCGCAGTTTTTGACCGAACCTGCCTAATCTCATCTCTACTTGGATGAATATAGCGCGACGTTGAGATTGGCGACTGAACTATTGACAGAGATTTTCGTTAATATTGTCTAAGCTGAGGTCATTTCATGCAAATTGTGAAGGAATCGACGCGGACTCGCCACCTGTGTTTTTGCATTTGGTGGAAAATGGAACGGGTTTTTCAACAACCACCCTTAGATTTAGGAAATTGTCTGCAACAGCAGTAAGCATTTCGATAAACCACATCAAAATTAAAGACAAAACAATTTGGAATAAAATGGCAACTTTATGCTTCGAAATAAATGTGATTTAGAAACTTAAACCTAGAAATAAGCTCCCTTCTTAACCTTTCTTTTTAGCATTCATTCGCTGTCCTCCATTTCCAGCGCCATGGTACAGTCGCTCAGAAGACAGTGACAGTAACAGCGATAAAACTTAAGCCAGTGTTTGTATTAGTGCTGAAGCACTGTGATAGCAATCGGAAGAATTGGCGATTGATGTGCCTGAAATAACTGATTGAGGTAGATGTCAAATTAGGTTCTGATGCTTACCGTTTTTATTGTTTGTGGATTTGCTTCACTTTTTCGTAAAATGACATTATCTTAGAAGTAGAGGACAAAACCTGTACTAGCATCATGATTGTTTTGTCAAAAATTCCTTTTTTCATGATTTCGTAATCTAGTAGCTGGTAATTGCGAAGCGGAGAAGGAGGGGAATGAGGAGGAGGAAAAGAGGGAAAATACACTATTCCTATGCTGAAAAGCACAAAATTATTAAGATTCCTCATTTTCTACTTGTGCACCGCAAATTCGAGGTTCTAAATAACTTTGGCTATTAACATTTGAATGGCAGGTCTTCACAATCCCCGAGCGCACATGAAGCAGAACTTCATTTAGCGTGATCCAACTCAGAAAATTTGATCCGGATGTAAATAGGTTATTGGCGTAAATAAATTCCATTACTGCTTTTAAGTCGCTTTCTTTGGTAGCTTTAGCTAGGAACTCCGGATTATTTGATAAGTGATAAGTAATTTTGATTATTTGGTGAAAAGTTAACATAATAAAGCCCTGTCAGTTAGGATAAATGAACTGAGAAAAAAAATTGGGCCTAACGAGCCCAAAAGAACCAGTCGTATTCAAT